ATGTGTCTCCATCGAAGATGTACATCGTATTTCTAGTCTTAAATATGACGATGTAGATCGTCCAATATTTGATGCACAAGGTGTGCAGAAGAATGAGGGAGACGTCCACTCGACGCCCGACGGCCGCAACGCCGCATATCCAGAGGAATTCTTGTTTATAAACATTTGGGCTCTGTGGACATATCAGAGTGGAAGTTATCGTCGACTGCTTCTTCGGCCTTCGAACTCGGCCGGATGCTGCCGACTACCCCTGGACACGGGGCCGAACAAGTGTGACCAGCACTTTCGTGCTGCTACTGCGTCATAAGCAACACGAATCCCGCCGTCGACTAAGCCCAGCCGAGTGCGCCGCGTCCCCTCCTTGGACTACATACGACTGCATCACTGTCTTCAACTACATGCGCCCCATGATTGGGTATGGGGACCCTGGTATGGTGGCCCCACCACCGCGTGAGGCTGTTTGCTGAACGAGGGTCTGCCGGCATCCACTTGACAGACCAAGAGCCAAGGTCTAAGAAGTGCGGGCACATGGAAGACAAGGGGGGAGTAGTTGGGGACGACGCAATAGCAAATATCGCGCTTAATCGACGCGCGCCTCCAAGCACACAACTTCAAATTCCTGTAGGCATCATTTTCGCCCGCACGGATGCCAAAGCCGCTACGATTCTTGACAACAACTCGGACGGCCGCGACAATCCGTTCATCTTTGCCTTTTTCCCTGTGCGACCAAGCAGGACGTTGAATCGTTCGCCGATGCCACGCGCAGCGGCCGCGATGAAACCTGGGACAAGGATGCCGCATGCAAAACCTTCACCGAGTATATGGCCAGTCATTATTGTAGCAACCCCGCGGGGCTTACAGGGTGGAAGCGTCAAAGAATTCGCCGACTTCAACGCAATGAAGAAATGCGCGATCGTCCGGTTGCGGCATGCGCCGTCGAACTGCTGCGAGAGAGCCCGCAGTACGGTCGAAGGCTACCACCGTGTCCGCGGTGGAGTCGAGGAATTGCATTGCCTGCACTAAGGCGCATGAGCCGTACGGAGACTTGACTTGGATGGAGACCACCTTACCTGGCCAGGTGCTGGCTCGGCAACCCACGTCGGGCGTTCACCGCCATTGTCCCTACCAAATGCTTGCGTACAACT